TTAGGGATTGCACACTCCTGAATAGACGAAGGATGATACAACAAACATAAAACTCTAGAAATGATGTATCACCTCACAGCTTGTATCTGAAGGTAGGAATCATGCAGAGGCTCAATTATGCAAAACATCAGGTACTCCATTTCTCCTTGGACATTCCAAACATTCCTCAAGCTCCTGACTCTTCAAAATCCAACAGGAACTCATAGATCCAAATTACAGAAAAATACCTATTCCAGACATAAGTACTTCTGATAAAATGCCTCCCCTTGATGTCAATAACAAAGTTATCCATGAAGAGATTCTCCCATTTACAGAAGAATCTTCAAGTCATGTTAAAAACCTACTTCTATATGAAGTAGGTCAAGCTTCTCATAATGGGTTTCCTATATCAAGCTACATTCCCATCCAATATAAAACCAGAGCCTAAAAAAGATCTGTTTTATCCTGGTAGCCAAAAAAAAAACCCCTCTTAATTACTTTTGGCAATTCCTTTTATCTTTCCTATAAAAAGAAGTGGAGACATGGCAAAGCATTGTGAGGGTATAAAATTTATAAAACTGCCAGACTGGAGAGAACCCTATAGGTGTTATGAGATAACCCTTTGCAAGTTTCAAATATAACATTATGTCTGTAGCTCAAGTCTGAAGGAAAAACTGACACTCCTGGTTCTTAGATCTTCCGATTCTCTTGTTTACAGTGAACTTAATATCTCCCATTTTAAGATAGAGAATAAATCCTGTTTTAAGACAGAGATCAAAATAAAGCTAGAGTACTATTCTTAATACTCATCTGTAAGAATTAGACATATGAAAGCTAGCATTAGTATATCAAGCATTTTCTGCTCTGTATTTACATTCACACTGACAGAATTTGGGAAATTTCCTATTTTTTTTTTTCCTGCTTCAGCTCACTAAGTTATCTTGGCCACTTGATAGTCAAGTTCAAGTCTTTAAACACTACTGATATGAAAAAGGAACTCCTCGTTCTCTGGGTGAGGCAACAGCTCTTTTGTAATAAGGTTAAGTTTACGTTTTCTTCTTCCTTTCAAATGATTTAAGCCACAGAACGATGGAGAAGTCCAGGTTTCCTATGCAAGTGCTGTTACGGGAGAGCCACAGAAAAGCGTTTAGGCAAAGTAAAAGCAAGCAAATTAATACATACTCTTCTCATAGGGAAGAGCAACTGCTCCTTTGCATACACACATGCAGTGAAGGAAACAAATCGTACAAGTCCAAGTCCAAACAGTACTCATTTAATATTGTTGTAGCAAAGCATTTAAAGTCTTATTCTACTGCTGCTCGAACTCAAAGTAGCAGCTAATACTAAGATTGCTGTGAAATAGGCAAGTACCATACCATGGCTGGAAAGAAAGAATCAGTGTGAAATAACATACAAAGAATATCATATTAATTACTTATACAGCTGCTCACAAGATGTCACAGACTAGATTTGCAAAAGCTGTTTATACAAGGGATCCAAAGTCGGAAAAAATGGCTAAATAAAAATACTATGATTCATGAAAGCTGTCATTATAATTTATCAGTAAGAGATTCCCATTTCTCATTATCTAAAACGTTACTTTGAGAAAACTACTCGACAATAAGAGACGTAAAAGGTTGCTTCAATAAAATGTGAAAGTGAAGTTAACAGATCAAGTGTAGTATTCTCAACTCAGATCTGTTTACCAAAAGGTGAAACATGAAAGACTCTATTCTTAGAGAATAAAAAGCTTCTTACTAGTGCCTAACTCAATAATGGAGGTCTTGCCAAGGCAAGACTTGTCTATTTGCCAGATGACAGTCTTCACCAAGCTGGATTATTTCTCATTAACTCCACTTTTCCTGAAGTAAGTTACCTGCATTACATTACTAGAGTGTATTCCCTTATAAGCAGTAAGTGCAGACTCTCGGGAGGGAACTCTGAGAGTTTTACAACGAGATTGACAAAATCTTAGAAATGGAACAATCCAAAAAAAAAAAAAGGAGGGAAGGAACTAGAATTCATTCAGGTTTCTTGTTCCCTCAACCGAGGGATTTACATACCATTTCCCTGGCATAATAGGTTCAAGGTTAAATTGCAGCAAATTTAACTAAAATAGTGACAGTTGTAGCAGTGAGTTCCTAGTCACCTAGCATCTGAAATGTTCTTAAAAGCATTTAAGCCTACCTTCATTATTTTTAAAAGTGTGAATGTTCAAGTAAGACAGTGTTATGAATTCATGAGAAGAGCTGACAACTTCAAGTGAAAACTGAAGGCTAAAGCACTCAAGATTACGTAACCACACTTTGTGTACAATTTTGTGGTAAATCCCATGACAAGCTGCAAGAGCAAGTCAGAATTTAACAGATCAAATCTCCCACAACCATTAGATCTAGCACTACGGTTTTGTTTAATCAGTGGGATACACTATTGATGTAAACTATAACTTCCTTATGTCTCTTCAAGGAGAAAAAAAAGTAATCAAGGAAGTGAGATTTTAAGTACCATGTGATCCAATAACATGCTCTCTGTAGGCAGACTACCCTAAACCTACATATTTATGAGGCCTACAGATTGTGTATTGCTTCAGTGAAAGCAAACTGACACCTCAGTAAAGCTGGCTAAATAAATAACTGTAATGCTTCACATTTAAGAGTTATCACTGAAGTTAATAGAATAATAGCCCCAAGAAAAAGGAGTTTACTTCCATGCAAAATGAATTGTCTTTGGTCACTAGAATGATGGATCTGAACAAAATTAAGTCAAAAAACAGTTTTATTAACAAAATTACTTGCATACCTCAAAGGTGCTGAGGATTTCATGCCTGAGAAGACATCTCCTACCCTCTAGTATCCATCTACCATTCACTACAACTTACAGACAACCCCTGACATCAGGCCCTTCACTTTGCTGTGCAGCCTACGAAGCACAACAGACTGGCGTCCAGCTCACTGATGAGCATAAGGAAGAGAGTGGTAAAAACAGTATTTCCCCCCAAACCACGATACTTGCATTCTATTCCTCATTTTGCCTCTGGCCTTCCAACTTCAGAAAAATATTGGGGGAAAAAAGATAGGTAACCCTACTGACACCTACTTGTACTCCCCTGAGACAACACAAACTTCCTTGGATATGCAAGGGAAAGGGGAGGGGAAAAAAATAAAGTCAGGCACAGTTTTACTACCAAATATTGTATACATTGATGGTGATGAGTGCCACAAGACAAGTATCAGGGGAAAGCTTAGCACTGCTATGTAAGAGTTATTACACAAAATACACTCATACCACCTGGCAACTGTCCCTTAATTTCCTTCTCATATTATGTTCTAGTATTTTAATTTGAGAGCACAAAGGGGAGAGTACTATTACAATATCAGATATAGGATTATACCTACAAAAAAGATTAGAAACTATAAGTTCAGAGAATACACCATGAACTACACGTCCTAAAGTCTTTAGACATGCCGGTGGAGATGAAGGGAACTTTGCTTCCTTCCATCAGCTCTTAACTATATCTGGTATCAAGTTACACCCTGGTATGTTGTTAACAGGTAATTGGGTTAAGGACTATTGAATTTCCTTTACACATATTGAAGAAAACTACTCTATTGCTCCCATACTTTTTTTTTTTTTAAAGCACAATACTGTCCTCACACAAAACAGCCCAGTTACAGTTCTTGGTCAGTACAATCATCTATAATTAACAGTATAGAACTGTACCCCCTTTCCACTCCCAAGATCAAATCCCACATAAGACTCCATCACCCTTCCGAAGCATATTAAGAACTACAGCCAAAATACCTCAGGTCAAGCATGACACTGAAGCCTTAAAGAGAGTTATTAAAGTAAGTGGAATATATTCATATAACACAAATTGCTCAGGACCTTCTCCAGTTGAATTCGACTTTAATATTAAGTCAACCCTGCCTTAGGGTACTCCTGAGGTTCCTTCCAATTTAAATTAGTTAATGAGCATTACAGAACCCACTCCCACCCCCAAGCAGTTAATTGCATAAGTCAACTTTGGGAACAAATTGTTGGGAAATCCAGCAGAATACACAGCTTAAGATAATAAAGATTCAAAAACCTGTGTGAAAAAGAATTCTAAAACTCTAAGGGTAAGCTACAAAACGAGGAAGATTGGTTTACACTTTCACAGAAGAAGTACTGAAGTCACTGATGAAAGGAAGACTGGCTGATGTTCACAAGTTCTTCAACTCATACAAGTTACACTTTTGAGTAAGACCATGGTTTTTGTTTCACTTGTGCTGCAAACCCCTCATCAAGTGTCTAGATATATCACCACACATAAAACAGCTGACCTGGGAACACAGAGTTAAGCAATCACTTTTTAACCATAGCACAGAGCTACCACTTTGGTTAGTATATTTTATGCCCTTCTATAGTATTTACAAGCATAATCGATTTTACTTTTGCCCTTCTATGTCCTGTCAGCGTCCTCCAAACACGTGAAGCTTTTTACTTCACAGAAAATGCTTTTTCTTCTGTTCTCAAGCTACTAAAGCCCACAGGAAGCGCTATCTCAAAATCTACTGCAGACTTATAAAAAAGTTGCAGATGCTCTTCAACCGCACATCTACGCTCTGCATTTTCACGGTTCCATATAAGGGATGATCACTTCATACTCTCTCTACAGGAAAGTGCACATAAAAGCAATTCTTGTTTCATCTATTCATAGCAGACAATAATCTGTTTAAGTCTTCCATTTAATAAGACATAATTAGTCTTAAGAGATCTTCTCCACCTCACAAACAAATCTTACAAGCCTTCCCGTAGCCCAACCCCAATTTAAGCCATTTAACTGGTCTGCTTTTGCATGCTTTCAAAATAGCAACCCTGTCAGAGGAGCCTCGGCTAGTGTATAAATAC